AACTGGGACATCTCTTAAGCTAGAAGAGCAAAGTCAGCAGAATCGAAAATCAAGATATGGAACATTAAAGGCTCATTAAAGGCTAATTATATGCCCTAATGAGAAATTTTAGGCTCCTTGGATTTTCGTGAGAATGACTGTTCTGCTAGCTTTAACTTAAGTTAGAACATGAGCGAAAAAGTGGCTAAAACAATGAAAATTGCAATTCCACTTCCACATACATTAAAGGTTCATTAAAGGCTCTCGAAATATACCAATCCCAAATTTCAGGCTCAATTACTTTTATTTTTGTGAAAATACAAAAAGCGCGATGCATGAGTGATGTCGGCCAAGCATGGCAGAAAAACCTCTCAGACGATGAAAATCAGTGTTCCGATAGTGCAGTCGTAGTGAGTACATTAAAGGCTAATTAAATGCTGTTATTAGAAATTTTAGGCTCGAAATTCGCGATTAGTGTATTTCCGGAGCCTTTAATGAGCCTTGAATGTCAGTCCATGTGGAATTGAAATGTTCTTTGTTTTAGCCACTTTTTGGCCCATGTTCTGCTGGCTTAGGTTAAAGCTAGCAGAATAGCAATTTTCGCGAAAATTGGCGGAGCCTAAAACTTCTCATTACAGCATTTAATTAGCCTTTAATGTATTCACTACGACTGCACTATGGGAACGCTGATTTTCACCGTCTGAGAGATTTTTCTACCATGCTTGACCGACATCACTCACACATCGCGCTTTTTTGCATTTTCATAAAAAAAGTAATTGAGCCTGAAATTCACGATTGGTGTATTTTCAGAGCTTTTATTGTCTGTGCAAGGAATTGCAATTTTCGTTATTTTTGCCACTTTTTCGCTCATGTTCTGCTAGCTTAAGTTAAAGCTAGCAGAACAGTAATTTTCGCGAAAAATTAAGGAGCCTCAAATTTCTCATCGGGGCATTTGACTAGCCTTTAATGAGCCTTTAATGTTTCATGTATTGATTTTCGATTCTGCTGACTTTGCTCTTCCAGCTTAAGGGACATAAAACTGGGTTGTCATCGGCGGAAGATTTCCCATTTGAGAATACTTGTTTTGTAATACTGAATTTGGAAGCATTGAATTAAGGCCCTAGTTGGCAATGGGAATGGTGTCATGATCACTGTTGATAGAGTCAGTTCTCTGGAAAGGCGTGTGGAAGTGGCTGCAGTAAGCGGTTTGTCAAAACAGAAAAATGCCATTAAGCTGATATAATCCGCAAAGCTGTACCTATATGGGGGTTTCTTGCCAAATTTAACAAACCATTTATAAAAATGAGAAACAGTGTTAGGGACAGAATTGAGCCTTTTGGAACGCTGGCATTTATAGGCAGTGATACACAACAACAACACAAGATACACAAGAAGCTACGCCATCGTTCACAACATGCCTATGCAGTGACCTGCCTTCCAAAAAGTTCAACAGCCATTGGCAAATATCTTTCGGAACACCATTAGAATGTAACCTGTACAGTTTGTCAGAGATGAGTTTATTAGCAGTGTCAAGTTGCAGAAGAATTTTCCTTATAGTTCTAGGTCTAAATACAATGTTGTCCATGTAAGAACCAATGTGTGCCAGTATCAGTGGCGCTTTGCCATTGTCCCCCATTATGGAATTTGATGCAAATTGTTTGACAAAGTGATATCTGCTTTTTCGCTTGACGATACGACAATGGAATTATTGTGTGAAGAGATGAACATGTGAAATTTTTTCCTTTGGTTTTAAAAAAGGACCAAAAGGATCTGGATCCGCTCGGGTAGTCCAAAAGTCGTTTACGCATTTCTTGGTTATGTTGCTCCTTAGCCTCGTTAGTTATACGGTTGCAATCAATGACATCTTGTTGCAATCATTTCTGGCACCTGTAAATGACGATTGAGTTTTTTCGTATTGGTTTCATAGCCAGGCACGATATGCGGTGTTCTTTTTTTGCAACGGCTCGGGCACACTGCTTGTCAAATCAAGGTTTTCCAGTACAAGACGTTTTAAATAAATATTTATTTATTTATTTATTTTATTTATTTATTTATTTATACTCTCACATATACACAATAAATTGTAATTACATATTATATAAGAGTGCTTACTGGTACTAAACTATACTAAAAATTGGAACTAGAGACAAAAAACACAAGATAAAATAAAATACACAATAAAATACAAATTAGGGAGTTACAGGCTTTTCAACATTTGAACAAATTAACATAAATATTATAAATATTATGCAAGAATCAACTAGGATTTGACTAGGAGTTGAAGCACTGCTTAATTAACTTAGCAGTGGTATCAAAAAAATCTATATCACATTTTTCAGTCACTGAGTTGCATTCTTTCAGCATATTAACTAGTGGTGAGCAACTTTGTGGGTTACAATGAAAAGTTACACAGTTTGTTAATCTTAGTTTAATCTTAGGAACTTTAAATGTTATTCTATTAATTAAGGAACAATCCTTATATCTCATGTTATTAACAATATAAAACACAAACAAAACAACATACTAGCATATGATATCATGAACGGATAGATGTTGTGTTGTTTTAGATAAAGGGCATTATTGACCTCAGCTTGGGGAGCCCAGATGACAGAGGCATATTCCAAGTGTGGCCTCACAAGGGCATTATACAAAGTAACTATTGAACTAATCGCCTTGAAATGTCTTGTGTTCCTAATAATAAATCCTAAAGACCTATATGCCTTAGCAACAATATTCTTATAGTGGGTATTAAACTTTAGGTTAGTCTGCAAATAAATCCCAAGGTCCCTACACTCATTTTTTCTATCAAGCACATTCCATTACATAGTCGTATTGGACGTGATTTGATTTTCGTTTAATAGTATACTCGATAGTATATTATATAATAAGTGTGGTAAGTAGGTTATTACCGCACGCGAGAGAAATTTTCAAACCGAGCCGGTGAGGCGAGGTTTGCAATCTCTAAGGGCGGTAATAACCTAATTACCATACGTATTATATACAGTATTTTATCTACAAGCGTGCGGTAACAAAATATCCGAAAGAAATTTAAAAAATTATGAAAAAAAAAAATGCGTTTGTCACCTTTGACAGCTGACAAGTAGAATTTAGGTGATAGGTAGGTAATTTATCCCTGGTAGATAATCACAGGTACGTACCTATGTAGGTAGAGCGTGCGGTAATAATATTACCGCACGCAAAATCGTGTAATATACCTTAGTTACCGCACGCTTGTAGATAATTGTTATTTACCTAACAAATGCGGAAAGTGATACTTTACCGCACGCAACGGCAGTTGCAAGCCGTTAAGTTGTTGCCTAGATGACAAATAAGACTTTATAAGGAGACATGCCTCCCTAGAGAAATCAAATTCACCCACTTTTTGAACCAGTCAACCTTGTCAAAAGCCTTCGCACAATCCGTCATGATTACATCCATCTGTGCCCGTATTCTCGTAGCCAGGGAACAGCGTTCTCTCAAGAGAACGATTGCTCTTTCCTTGTCAGTATTATGGAAATAACAATATTGGTGACTAAGACAGAGAAATCGTTCTCTTGAGAGAACGCTGTTCTCCAGTGACGAGAATACGGGCCCTGGTGTTTACTGTTTATTGCCTCAGCTGCCGTGTCTGTAAGAATGCTCAAGTTCGTAACAGTGGACTTTCCAGGCAAAAATCCATGCTGTTGTGGTGCGAATCTACTTTGAAAATATTGCAAAATATCATCGCAAAGTATGTGTTCAAATATTTTGGCTATTGAATTTAAAATGCTAATGGGCCTATAGTTTTCAACCATGCCCACAATACCCGATTTAAAGACAGGTGTGATAATAGCTTCTTTGAGGCAGTCAGGAAAATCATTTTTACTTAGGGCCAAGTTGAAAATAAGCACAAGTGGCTCAGAGATAAATTCTGCATACCCTTTATAAATATATGCTGGAACACTGTCGCTTCCAGTAGCCTTTTTAGGCTTTAATCTATTAAGACTCGTTAGGACTCTCTTTTGTGATTACTGAAAAACGAAAAGTTCCCTGATATTCCTTTGTGTTACATGGATTAGATTTTTGGAAGACAGAGCAGAAGTATTGTGCGAAGGCATCTGCCATACCCTGTGAATCATCAATTGTTTGATTCTTATAACACATTTCCAAAGGTATCCCATTCCGTTTCCTACGAGAATTTACAAAGCCCCAAAAACTAATGGGATCTCTTTGCACATTGTTTTCAACAGTTTCGTGATACAATTCAAAATCTTTTTTGGTATTATACTTGATACTGTTTCTTAAATTTTTATATTCATCTACTATGACAGGACTTGCTTTACCTTTTCTAATTCTTTTATGCAATTGATTCTTTCGCTGGATTTTTTTGATTAGATCCAATGAGAAGAAAACTGGATATTTCCGTGAGTTTGTTGGTTTTTCATAACTTATTTTTTTTGGGATTGCTTGATTTATACAAGAATAAAGCTTATTTTTATTTTTGAAATCATCAATTTCACTTTCATAAGTTTCATAAAACCAATTTAATAATTAATAATTTCCTTAAGGATCGCTTTAGTTGTGTTCCAACCGACATGAGAACTGTTCTAGAACGGTAATTTCCAGTCCATCAATTCATTTGTCAAGTAGGATAAACATTCAAATTATTGAAAAATAGGTGGGCAACTGGAAATTACTGATTCTGGAACAGTTCTCATGTCGGTTGGAACAGAGCTTTTTACTCCTTTTTTTTTTAAATTCTCAATATTTTTGATCCCTAGTTCTAATACCAGCTTTTATTCTACCAAGGTTAAAATCCAGAGTTGAAGTAGGTAACATAATATCCAGTTAAAGGAATTTCTCGAGGAATTTCTTTATTAAACTTATCTTCAATTCCTAAATGCACGCAAGAGTTGAAGTATTTGCAAGACTCCCTAACCTTATTGAAACAGATATGATTTTTCCAAAGAGTAACTAGGAAAATATAAACTGCACTCTGCAACTCCTATTTCTATGATTTTAGACTTGTTATCTATTTTTAGGTGAAGAATACATTGTAGCGTTCAATTTTGCAAGCCCACCTGAAGCTAAAACCTTCAAGGCTATTGTAGAACAAAAAATTATTATGAAAAAACGAAAAGAGGAGAAAAAGGCTAGACAAGTTGCTCAGACTCAAACATTAAGGTTACCACAGAAAAATCTCGACTTCAGTGTAAAGCAGGAGTTGAGAAAGGAAAAGAGGAAAAGGAACATTACTAAGGCTGATATAAGTATGTTTTTATGTCTGTTCTATTTTTGTAAATAAAAATAAACCTATTTGTTTTTTTTTAGGTACTCCAATGGACTTTGTACATATTTCACATGTAGGTTGGAATCCAAATACAGGTTTTGATGTTTCAAGTGAGGATGCTCAATTAAAGTCATTATTTCATAGGGTAAGTACTTAACTAGAAGAGAACATATGATTACCAGCTACTTGTTTAAATGTAAATATTATGGATATTTTGATGACTAAACTTAGTAATTATTTGGAATTTTAATGAAATACAAAGTGGTAACTTGTGTTGGAATTTGAATACTGACTAATATTTTTATAAGAATAGGTTTTATAAATAATGTATTTTAAGTAATGACCTAAAAATTAACTAGTTTTAAAACTTATCAACATAAATAATTAGGAGTGCGGCAGATAGAAATAAGAACATTGTTTTTACTTAAATGCAAGTATAATGATTATTTCGTCAACAGGCCGGCGTATCAGAAAAACAACTGCAAGACAAAGAAACACGAGAATTTATATACGATTTTATCAGTAAGCATAGGGATTCCCAATACGGTGATGAACCGAACCCACCAGTGGTACCTCCAAGAGGGCCACCGAGGCCACCATCTAGCAATGCCAGGCCTGCTCCACCACCTCCACCCGTGCCCAGAATAGCATTGCAAGGTAAATAGGGTTATTTGTTATATCCTTGTTTACTTTTAGAAAAACGAGCAAGACGAAAGAGTGATATTTTGTAATTGATATTTGTCATAGAAGGGAAAGGCTCTAAGAATTATGTCATCCTTTTTCAAAAAAACCTAGTCATCACTTAAAATACAGTAAATACTGTACTTAGTATATTTTATTGATATCGACTATGACTTCATAATCTGTTACTTACCATTTATTTATACAAGCTTTGATGAAAAAAGCAAAAAAGGTAATTGTTGACTTGGTGTCAGTGTAATCATAAAAGAATATATTTTTCAACCTTTATCCGAGAGTTTGCAGCACTTTGACATTGAATTTTATACCTTTTAGTTATTATTGAAACTCAATTCAGGAAGAGGCCTAATTAAACTTTTTATCTTAATATCTTTACTAATTTATTTCAACATTTTCTTGATGAATATATTTTTTTCTTGATTTTCTTTTGGTATAAATTTTCTAATGGTATTTAAATTTAACTTTATTAGAAAATGTTGCCCCGAAAAAAGCTAGGCCACCCTCGCCACCAAAACAAATGATTAGCAGACAAATGGTTAATGCTGGAAGTCCGGCACCGCCTCCACCTCCACCACCTCCGCCTGCCATGGAAAATGTACCTCCTCCGCCACCAATGCTGATGGACAATGGAGGGTTTGTACAAAATTCGGTGCCAAACGGAAATGGAAATGCGGCTTTATTACAGAGTATACGAGAAGGAACCAACCTTAGGGTAAGGTATATAGAACACTATACTAAATATCAAAGTGGTTTTTGTATATTGGATGCTTCAAAATCTACCTTTATTTTTTTCAATCCATAGAGAAATCCATTTCCAGCAAGCATTATTTATTTTTATATAGATGAAAAATACATATTTATATATTTGTTTTTAATAAATTGCCATTTTTAGCATGTCGAAGAAACAGAAACAGCTGTGGTGGATAATCCACGAGGTGACTTGCTTAGTGAAATCCGCAAAGGAATTCAGCTAAAACCAGCGGACCAGAGGGAGATTAAGCCGGCACAGAATCCATCTCCAACTGACTCGGGCGGAACTGATTTAGCCAGGTACAGTATACACCCTGATTTATGTAGAAGTTGTCCAGTGGTAGGTGGATTAGTACACTTGCACGCTAATGCACCGGGAACGTAAATCACCCTGTATAGTATATATATCAACAGAAATTATTTAGCATTTTATCAAAATTTATTGGAATTGTGGGAAGCATTTTTAAACAGACTATATTTAGGTTATTGGTAAATCAATAGAATACTTTGGAATAAATTATTGTGCAATACATATTTGACGAATAGCTTGGGAAGGTAAACAATGAACATTAGCATAACAATTTACAGGCTAATTTTCAGGTGCAAGTTTATGGTTACTGGTTAAATTCAATGTTTCTCAAGGCTACATTTCGGGTTAAGCTAAAGAATACAAATACTTCATGTATGTTTTTGTGAGCTTTTACGTTTTCTAAATGTGAGGTTCAATAACAAATACATTTCTGCATTTTTCACTTTTTTTCAATCAAAATTTGTCCAAAGTGGGCGTTTAACAATAAAACAACCTAAATTTGAGCTAATAGTCATGAAGATATTTTCTTAGACGTATTTTTGTTTCAAAATTTCAAACCATAAATTGTTTCAACTTCTCATTCAAAGTAATCTTGAAAATCATACTGTAAAGTACCCCAAAAAACTGTGAAATTTATTTATTTCTGAGAAGGCTGTTTCCAGCTCTTTCCAAATTATATTCGCCAATAACTCTTTTTAATGCTAATGTCACATTTAGTTGCTTTCGAGAAAGTAAGATCCTCAAATTTGTGATAATGGCTGAGGCTCAAACTACATTCTCCTTTCAACACTTCTGTCTATGTTTTTTGATCCATTATTATCGTTCTATGTTTTGTTTAATGCAGTTAAGCTCATATGACTAGAATAATTATCAACTTTCTTCCAGGGCTCTGAAACAAGCACTATTTGAAAGAAGTAAAGTGATTCATTCAGAAGACGACGATGACGATACTAGTAGTACATCAAACGATGATGAGTGGGATTGAGACTGGCATACAACCTTGTATATATGTATATTTAGTAGAATAAGGTAAAACAATGATTTTTATATAAGGGATAAAGGTAATAAATAAATTTAAATAAATCAAATTGATATCAGGATAGTTGAGAAACAATAATTCCAATATCAAACTAGTCTTTTCTCATTTTTAACTTTATTATTTATATGAAAATAGGATCAATAATAATATGTATAGTTTGAGCTTATTGCAATAATTTATCTTATTGCTTTTCATATAATGTATATGTATTTTCGTTGTTTTTTTTTTTTAATATTGACCTTTCCAACAAAGCAATCATTATGTGCCAAATAACTTTTTTTTGCACATTTTTAAGTTCGTCAAGATTTATTTTTCCATTTGTAAAACAAACATGATTCCAAAGTTTTGCTAAGCACTCCGGTTACCTAACTTTCTGATAGGTAAAGTTTCAAAAAATCCAATATTGAATTAATATTTTGAACATGGCTTCCAAATCAGATCTCCCTTTCTATTGTTTTGCAAGTCTTTTGACGTCTTCCCCATAATCATGTTCATGATAAAATAAATCATTTTGATACCTATAAGGAATGTTATGTCGCACATTTACTAATAAAATTGACCCATTAACAATTTGCTGCACAACAAATAGTAATACTGAAATACTAAAAATAGTTTAGCAGAAGTAAGGTATTGTTATAACAAAGAGAACCAATTTTAGCATTCATTATCCATAACAAGTAGGATGATACCATTCATAACTATATATTTTTTTTGTATTATTTCTATTTATATTCAAAATATAAATAGGATATAGGGATGGTATATTTTTTAGTAGGTGAGCGGTTAGGGTCCTTATTCTTGAAACAGGGGAGCAGCGTTCCCAGGAGATGAGTATCTGTCTTTCTCAAATGATAATATAAGTAACAAAGACGGAAAACTCGTTCTCCTAGGAACGCTGCTCCCCTGTTTCAAGAATAAGGACCCAGGTGAATTTTGCTAGATTCCTGACAAAATCGAATTTTATGTAGTCTTAATTTGATTCTTTGATGTCTGTTGTGACAAACTCTATACCATTTTTTTTTGGTGGAAATTTGCTTAGCACATTTTGTATTGTTCTAAAATTGAGCAAAGCCAACTTAAAACTCATGAAATCGGACGCTAGATCGCACCTTAAATAATATATCGCTGGACGATGATAACTAAAATGAAAATGTATTTAATTTTAAAGAAAAGTTATTGTGACTTGATGTTTTGTCCAACCTGTTGTTTGAGTGGTTGGATAATTTTGCGTCAAAGCTCAAAACTCACTTCATAAATAACAATTTTTTGGATTTTTTTTGTGGAATATCATTTATTTCATACGGTATTGTAAAACACACCTTTATTTAGTTAGTCGGAAAATTGAATTTTACGATACTATTGCTGTAAAATCGTGATTTTTAGGCCGGTAAAATGTTCAGACTGTCAAATTCAAACTTTAGTCAGTATTGATCTGCTGACCTATATGGTACTACAATGTTTTCACCAGTAAACAATCAGATATAAATTCAAAGAATTTATGCCCATGACACTCAAAATAGACAATAGCCACAATCAAAGCCGTGAAATTGTGAATCGTGTGAGTAAATTTATGAAAAAAACGGCGGAAGAAGGTCAACACGAGCTCATCGGAATTAATTGAAGACAGCTCGGATGACAACAGGGCATCAGAAGATGAGCAAGTCTTTTCAGGCCTCAAATCAAACATCTCCAAATAACCAAAAAAATCATTAAAATTTAACTTATTGCGAGTTCAGAAGAAGCAGTATCTTTTTTCCTATATTAATTTTTGTATACTTATCAGTTATCAGTTCAGAAAAATATATAGTTTCAAGGTAGTTTTTTTCATTGTACTGTTTCGGGTTCACATGGTTCAACTCTCTGAGGTTCAACTTATCATTTTTCCTAACGTTTATTCTACTAAGCAATAGCCTGTAGTGTCATGGCCCATACTTGTTCCATTTATTTCTACTTGGTACTTTACAGGTATCTGATGCAAATTAAAAATACCCTATTATTTCAAAATACAGGGTGATTCAAAAGTAAGCGGCATCCTTTCAGGGGCGTATTCCTTGCATATAAATAAGACAAAAAGTTCCTATTAACATGGGTCTGGAAATGCTTCCTAAGGGAGCTACGCACCTTCGAATAGGACACCTGAAAGACGTATTTTTCTCTATAACTTTGAAACCCTTCACAAATGGATTTTGAAAATTGGTGTATTTCATGAACATTTGATGGCAATTAAGATAGTAAATTGAAAATTCAAAAATCTTAATCAGTGACGTCACATACTGGGGAGGGTGAGGGTTAATACATCTCTATTTTTTTCACTCGTCAGGTTTTTGCGATTCTGATTGAAAATTCAGAAAGTTTAGAGTTTTTCACACAGAAAAGGTATTCTTGGTTCAATTCGATACAGCGTACCGTTTACGAGAAAATTGACTTTGAAAATTTTCTGATTGGAAAAAAAAAGAACACACAATCTTAACAATTTAGAGGAAATGTTCAAAATTATTACCATTAGCATCGCGACAAGCCGCTAATATTTTTATTAGATTACGATGGTAGAATTTGTGACATTTTACGTGTATCAAACGTCAAATTTTAGAAATAATGTCAAAAAACGCGAATTTCGCCCTACTAAGCTTTGAAACGTTTTAAACCAGAATCTTTTACACGTTCGATTTAAGAAAAAGTGACGTCTTCAATGACTCAAGAAAATGGAGTGCTTTGAAACTATGGCCGATTTCCATTTGCAGCAAGAGTGCAATTTTTTTTAATCTCTATCCTTCTATTTCACATTCTTTTAGAGAAAGATGTGAATACACTCAGTGCGCACTGATTCATAAATGGAAATCGCCATATTTCAAGACGTTTTGTCCACAAAAATGCATTTATGGCCGTTTGTACCGACCATTTTAAGAAAGCGTTAGCGATAAGTATTCCTTAAAGTGACATTTCTCCATATAAAAATGTCATTTTAAGGAATACTTACCGCTAAGGCTTCCTTAAAATGGTCGGTGCAAACGGCCATTACTCATTTAAAATGCATTTCTGTCAAAATTGCTAGAATTTGATTATTAGCTGACAGCATTTTATTTTAAATGGGAAAGTTTAACCAGTTGCAATGCAGAGTAGTTTTCATCAATAAACATACGCAAATCAGAAAATTTTCAAAGTCAATTTTCTTGTAAACGGTACGCTGTATCGAATTGAACCAAGAGTACCTTTTCTGTGTAAAAAACTCTTAAACTTTCCAAATTTTCAATCAGAATCGCAAAAACCTGACGGGTAAAAAAAATACAGATGTTTTAACCCTAACCCTCCCCAGTATGTTACGCCACTGATTAAGATTTTTGAATTTTCAATTTACTATCTTAATTGCCATCAAATGTTTATAAAATACACCAATTTTCAAAATCCATTTGTGAAGGGTTTCAAAGTTATAGAGAAAAATACGTCTTTCAGGTGTCCTATTCGAAGGGACGTAGCTCCCTTAGGAAGCATTTCCGGACCTATGTTAATAGGAACTTTTTGCCTTATTTTTATGCAAGGAATACGTCCCCGAAAGGATGCCGCTTACTTTTGAATCACCCTGCATACCTTGCAACAAAAGAGTGTGAAATGAAATGAAACATTGTACGTTATTCATCCGGGAAAACTTTTACATTATTCAGACGTAAATATCTATTTTGGCAGGTGCCTACTTTGTTATATTTTGTTAATTTCGTCTACACTTTATTTTTTCCCAAGATAGATTTTGATATTGTTAACTTTGAAACATAATCGATGCCGCTAATGCCGCTTATTGGTCGCAAAATGCCATTTGAACGACATGTATTATAAAACTGATGTCAACCTGCAAGAACACCTCATTTTGCGACCAATCAGGGCCAAGCGGTATTGTTTATGTTTCAAAGTTTTCAATTTCAAAATCCATCTTGGGAAAAAATACACCATAGATAGACCGTCATTCACAATATCTTTGAAAAAAAAAATACAGTATAGTTAATTTTATTTATTGATCAAAATAAAAAATGGTTCCCTTTGTAATAATAATCTCATTACTGAGTCAAGAGATTCATTCATTTATATTTATTATGATTTTTTATGTTGATGTTTTATATTCTGCATTTATTTTTTATTTACTGATTTTTTTTAGCGATGCCTATTTTATTCTAGGTCCCTAATTTGTAATATTTGATTTAATAGATTATGTTGTTAATTAAAAAATAGTTTTTGATTTATTGAAGAAGACCCCCTGATAGACCCATACCCCGAAAAAAATAAATCACTTTATGGTGAATAATGCCAGATTTTGAAGACTGTTTCTATTTTTCTTAACCTACTAGAAAATCCTCCCTTGAAACCCCTGAAAATTTGTCCCTCTTTTGAAATCATCTTGGTTATGGTTCAGTTTAGTTAGGAGGTTTTTCCTTTGAAAAGAAAAAAAACAATAAATTCACTTTATAATACTTTTTATTCTACATCATACAACAACAAAAAACAATAAAATACTACAACTAAAAGCCTTTGATACACTTATAAACAAAAATACTATAACAGTCTACTTTATTAATGTAATATTTTTTCACTAGAGGGGGATGATGTTTCGTTTCATATTATGAACCTTTTTTCAAAAAGAATATTCATTTTTTGTTAGTAGTTTAAACTGGGAATTTTCAATAATAATTTTTTATGGATAACTCTATGAATAATGTAACAACAATACCTCTATCGATGTTTTTCCAACATTTACTTAAAATTTTAAAGAGTCCATCCACAACCATTCACTAAAAGTACAAAATTATACAATTATTAAAATTTTTAAAACTTAACAGCATAAAGAATACTTGAAAAAGGAAACAATGCACAAGACGAGCATTTTCAAGATGATATGCATTTAAAAAGGGATTTTGAATTGTAAAAATTTTATTCAATCAAAAATCCCATCAAAAAAAAAATATATATATGCACGAGCAACCTAAAGCTTCTATTTTGATTGTTCCAGTAATCATATTACCTAAATTTAAATTTTTGTTCTACTTTTGATCTAATGTAAGAACACTTGTCGCCATAAGATTTTTTTATCCTATCATTTTGGTAATTGGATTTGTCAGTCATAAGATGATTATTTGTAAGAAATCTAAAAGTTCTTGGTAACTTGAACGAAAGTTTTATCAAAAACTATTGAAAGAGGATGATACAATTTTACTAGGATAGAAAAAAATCGTCACAAAGCTACACATATACATACACAGTTAGAATAATAATGACAATAGTGCAGCTGAAATTGAACACGTTTCGATGCCATATAAACAACGATATAATATTATGTATTTGTTATATAACCTACCAGCTAGTTTATACACAGAGATTATTCAAACGGCAAATAAATACTTTGAATACTTTCAATAATTATTATTAAAATGTATTATAAGATTCAATATTTAAAAAAAAAATCATATAGAATGGGAGAAATAATAAGCTGAGAATGGTTTTTGAATGAATTTGTATAAAACCCCAATGGGAAACTGAGATAGTTTAGGTAATGTCTAGCCAACAGTTCTGAAGCTACAGGGGATCGGTGTAGTAAAAAAATGGCTGATTTCATTGGCTTTGTGAAGTAGGCAGGCACACTTGAAGCACAAAAGTTAAATTTTACGTAATCGTTTGGTGCTTCAATGTGCTTCAATCCCCAATTTAGCAACCCTTGAATTTTCAGACATATTCTGGTTTTTAGAATCGCCTGCCTAGTTTACACATAGCAGGAACATTAGAAGCACGAACGTTTAGTTGTAGATAGATGGTTAGTGCTTCAATGTGCTCCAATACCCAAATTAGCATCCCTTAAATTTTCAGAAGAATTTTAAAAATTGCGTGCCTGATTACTTCACACCCAGCAGGAACAAGGAAAGCACCTAAATGTTCAGTTATAGATGAATGTTTAGTGCTTCAATTTGCTTCAATCCCCAATTTAGGAACTCTTAAATTTTCAGACATATTCTGGTTTTTAGAAATCGACTGCCTAGTTTACGAATAGCAGGAACATTAGATGGTTAGTGCTTCAATGTACTTAGATCTGCAAATTAGCAACTCTTATATTTTCAGAGATATTTCAGTTTTTATAAATCGCCTGCTCACTTCACACCCAGCAGGAACAAGGGAAGCACCAACGTTTAACTACAAATGAATGGTTAGTGCTTCAATTCTTAAATAAGCAACCCATATATTTTCAGAGATATTTCGTTTGTGCTTCATGGATGCACAATCTCAGCTTTTAACAACTCATACTTCCCTACCAGGGGCGAGAACCAGGAATATGAACAGCATTTTCGTGTATCTTTTGGATCGATTCAAATTCCAAGATAAATGATGTCATTTTCAGAAATTCAGGAGATAGGCGTTTATTTTTAAGAATAAATGTGTAACTATCAATAAAATAGTTAGTCACGTTGCAGATATTCTGAATACAATTAAGTATCATAGAGCTTTGGTTACACCCCCTTTAGGAAAGGAGAAAAAAAGGTCGCACTTTGAGCAGTAGTGAATTATTATTGAACGCTATCACTCAAATCGCCAGATAGCGTTTGAGGAGCATTGAACTAGTGTATTGAAGGGACATGTGTTTTGCATCTCCATCCATGTTCTACGCTTTGGGATTTTGATCGGTGCTTCCGATGTTCCTGCTATGTGTGATCTAAGTAGGTAATTTCTAAAAACCGGAATATCTCTGGAAATTCAAAAGTTGCTAATTTGGGGATATAAGCACTAACGAAGCACTAACCATTCATCTGTAACTGAACGTTGGTGCTTCCCTTGTTTCTGCTGGATGTGAAGTAAGCAGGCGATTTCAAAAATCCCAATTCTCTCCGAAAATACAAGGGTTACTAATTTGGGGATTGAAGCACTAACCATTTATCTATAACTGAACGTTTTTGCTTCCCTTGTTTCTGCTGGGTGTGAAGTAAGCAGGCGAATTCAAAAATCCGAAATATCTCCGAAAATATAAGAATTGCTAATTTGGGGATTGAAGTATTCACGAAGCGCTAAACGATTACGTAAAATTCAACTTTTGTGCTTCCTGCCTACTTCACAGAGCCGATTTCTTCGATTCCTTTTTTTTCAAACCAAAACAAAGCTAGTAATGGATCTAACAACACACTCCAGAAGAAACCGAGTTAATTCAGGAGATAGCTACTGAGGTAAGTACTGAATTTACGTGAGAAAAAAACAACTCTTTTGCCCTATTGTGAAAAATTTTTTTTTTTTACTCTAGAGCTGAAAAGTAGTCACTTCACCTGTTTTTTTGGCTGATGTCAAAATCATTTGTAGAGTAGAGTTTAATGGATTGAATGATATTTTTCCTATCTTGAAATGAATATTAATTGATCTGCAAAAACAAGCTTACCAAAATCAAACAGTTTATTGAATAATCGGAAAAGAAACAGAATGAATAACTGAATCCAGACTTGAGGAAATCATCGAAAAGTGTCAGTGAGACAACACACTAACCCAATCAAGTGTTCGTAGGGTTTCCATAAAGGTTTTTCGCAATTCAGGACAAAGAAGTCAAGAAATCCGGACAAAATCCGGACTTCGCCGAAATAGCTATTTATGCAACAAGTGTAGGTATAGAGTGAACTTTTTTTTACGAATGTGAATTTTTTCGCACTCGCCTTCTGCTCGCGTCAAAATTCACATTCGTGAAAAAACGTCCACTTTACACACGTAGGTATACTTCGAGGTATACTTTGTATCACGAGGGTTCATACTTTTTGCCTTCCTTTTCAACAAATAGAAATTGACTGAAACAAATCAATGACGTCAAAAAAGTTTGTCGGTTCTTAAACCCAAAGTCGTTCATTTTAATTTGTCAAAAAAATTGAATGTGTCATATGAATTAATTTACAACTCTTTTTTTCCAAGTTATGACGTGTTCGTTATCAAAAGTATGAACCTTCGTGAAACGATCTGTACCTATTGCAAGTAGGTACAAAAAAATTTCTACTACCAATAAAATATGTGTAAAAAAATAAATTTAGACATATATTTTACGCACTAGTGCATAAAGTGAAGTAATTTACTAGAAAAAAATGACAGTGTCGACATCTGTCATTGACATTACTTTACGCACTAGTGAGCGTGAAAAGTGAATTACCTACTTTAGTACTAGTGCGTGAAGTAAAATTTCACGTCTTTTGTCTTTTGAAAACTGCGTAAAGTGAGTATTTTCACGATCTCCGAGTTTTCCGGACATTGACTTCCCCGGACACCCTAAAAACTCCTTCTCCTTTTAATAACAAATATTGAGTATACCTCGCTTCAAATTGAATTAGGTACCCACAATTTTTTCCAAAATTCATAATTCAATTATTACTGGCTTTTGATTAGGTTAGTTTTATAATTCTTAGGCGGCGTTCCGTATCTTAACCAGAGTTACCGATTGGTATAGAGCGGTTCGTCTATGGTGACAATCTGGTTCCTGAGAATGCGATTTATGTGTGGAACCGCGATTCATAACCTAACCAGATTTCGGGAGTGGTTAGGTTACGGAACGGGAACCGGAAAAACCAAGAATCTTGGTTAACTTACGGAACATCGCCTTAAACAAATATTTGAGTATTCTCCAAGACACTACTTGGAGAACTAACCAGTTTGGCACTCAAGAGCCAAAAAGTGAAAGGTAAAAAAAATGGACATGGCTAAAATGAAGATAAAAATACAATCACTTATGTCCTTAGATACCTAATGATCAATTTGTTGAGATAACCTAATTTTCTAAAAAATCACACATCTCAGTCAATACATCAGATACATATTTTTTCCCATCCTATTTAATTTTTTCTGTCCAAACGCACACACTCGTCCACTGTACGTTTCTGAGTTTGGCACTTGAATATTAATTTTTTTTTCTCAATCTAAAAACAAATAATAAGGACATAGGCAATAATTATTACTGCTTTATATGTATATACCTTAAACGTAACATAGAATAGGATCAAATATTTACACATATTATATAAATACCTATACACAATATTTTTTTAACTGTAAAACGATATTTTTAAATTAAACAATATTATTAAAATACAAAGTTTCATACGACTAGATTCTAGTACTTGTCAGTTGAAAACCCTTGGGATGGCCTACTGGTTTACCAATGTGCAGCAAATAAACAAGTAGACACTTCCTCAAAGACATTTAAATTTTTAAACATTTTCTAGTAGGTATTAAAATCACATCAACACTTGGGCAACATTTGAAAATCTTTTAAATATACATATTGGAAAAGGTAATGTTCCTATTGAAAACTACAGTATGGCATGCGGCAAATTTTCGTTTTTGAAGGCAGAAGACAAAACTAAAAACTAAACTTAAAAATTAACATAATAAATAAACAACAAAAAAGCATAAGGTAAACTTGATTGAGACCAATGTGTATAATACTGTCCTCAAAACATTAAAACAACACTTTCAAAATTTTTGGTATATTGGATTGAAAATATTCACATTCAAGATGCATTATGTGATGCTAACAAATTAATTACAAAAAAAAAACAACAAAATAAAATACGTGTAATTTTTGCCACATGCCTTTTTAGCGTTTTCGCAAAAAGGAATGCACTGAATAATATTTTTTCTTTCATTGCTCAATCAAATGAAAATTGAAACATTATGTTGAGCTCTACGGTCCTAGTAATTTAAGACTCAAGACTACTAATTTATCTTCAATAGCTACATACTTACTGTAGGTAGCTATTTTGTCCACTAACACATTGTTTGGATCACAATACACAATTTTACAGCTGAAACATTAAAAAAACTAAGCTACAAAATGAACTTATTTCATACGTCAGAGTTTCTAGCTAGCTAGATGATAATGGGGGATATAACCTGAGCGTGTAATGTGTATTTTTTTTTTCGGATACATTTTCGTTGTGTTTTCACCGTTTCATTCGCTTTAGTTCATGTCGGTTGCAAATCCATAAACTTCTAGGACTCTGATTTCAAAGTCTCCGCTGGGACAGAGTGGTGGGTTGTTGAATGTGGCACAGTGATCGGTTTTTCCGTACCGGATGTTTTCGTCCATCCATATTGCTTGGCCTTCACTGGAATAGAAAAAGAAAATAGGTGATGTTATTTATGAAGCCTGGAAAGTAGACACCAAAATATAGGTAGCTTTAAGTATATGTATTCTACAAATGGACAATAAGAATAAAAGAAAAATTTTTGTTAGTAAATTATTTCTGCTGTGAGAGAGAATCCCCAGCGGTCCTTTTACCCCCAATCAGGCCAGCGATCGGAAAAGAAATCAAAAAAAGAATCCATTGAAAAGGCCAGACTGCCATACGAAAACGACTTAGGACTTACCTAGTGAAGATTTACTGGGATGACATTGAATTATTCAAAGTCTGACGAAAAGGCAATATAGGTCATATACAGGGTGATCATTTTAAAACTGACCACTCCTATTATCTCGGAGTTGAAAAATGTTCGAAAAAATCCCTGAAACACGACAACTATAATTTGGAGGGAGCTGAGTTTTTATGCAAAATTCACCTCCCCCCTTTCAACCCCCAGCCACCAAAGCAACCCCCTAGAAAATCTTAAATGGGAAGGGGGGTCAAGTGATACATCATTTTGGAGGGTTTTTTATTCCATACATTGGTGTTAGATTTTAACACTTACCTAAGTTCAACTGTTTTGGAAATATTGACAGTTGAAAATTAACTTTTGTGCAACTTTCATAAACTATCATTTGACACCAATGGTGAGATTGGTTTTTCTTTAAAATTAACCGTTTAGGTTTTACACCCTGTCAAAGTTGCAAAAAAGTCAATTTTGAACTGTCAATATTTCCAAAACCGGTGAACTTAGGAATTAAAATTTAGTACCAAAATATACAGGGTGTCCCACGGTGGATGGCGTATTAGACGTTTATGGAGAACTAAATAGCGGATCATTTTGAAAATTTGGCAACCGGGATAAACGACCATAATCTACACTTTAAAAATATTTTTGTTTATGCGGTGTTGCCGCTTCTACTCTAAACCAGTGGCAACATCGCTATTTTAAATAGAACATCCTGTATGTGATTGCATATTTGGATTCTACGTAAAATTCTGAGCAGATTTCATGTGATATACCCTATACTTAAGTTCAACTATTTTGGAAATATTGACAGTTGAAAATTGACTTTTTGCAACTTTGACAGGCTGTAAAATCTAAACGGTTAATTTTAGAGGAAAACCGATTTCACATTCCTGTCTTAGATTTTCATAATCTATCATTTGACACCAACTTTGAATTTAACTGGAGATTAAATTTAATTGGAATTTTCAATCATGAATTAAATTCACAGTTGGTGTCAAATGATAGATAATAAAAATCTAAGATAGGAATGCGAAATCGGTTTTCCTCTAAAATTAACCGTTCAGGCTTTACAGCCTGTCAAAGTTGCAAAAAGTCAATTTTCAACTGTCAATATTTCCAAAACAGTTGAACTTAGGTATAGGGTATATCACATGAAATCTGCTCAGAATTTTACGTAGAATCCAAATATGCAATCACATACAGGGTGTTCCATTTAAAATAGCGATGTTGCCACTGGTTTAGAGTAGAAGCGGTAACATCGCATAAACAAAAACAGTTTCAAAGTGTAGATTGTGGTAGTTTATCCCGGTTTTCAAAATTTCAAAATGATCTGCTTTTTAGTTTTCCACTAACGCCTAATACGCCATCCACCGTGGGACACCCTGTATAGATTTAAAAGCACTCCAAAATGATGTATCACTCGACCCCCCTTCTCATTTAAGATTTTCTAGGGGGTGGCTTTGGGGTCTGGGGGATTGAGAGGGGGAGCTGAATTTTGCATAAAAACTCAACCCCCTTCAAATTATAGTTTACGTGTTTCAGGGATTTTCTCGAAAATTTTTCAACTCCAAAGATAATAGGGGTGGTAAGTTTTAAAATGAACACCCTGTATAAATGATGTAGATATTAGGTTACTTTGGGTTAGAAACTATTGAACATCTAGAGATTTCTCGATTAAATGGTTCTGTATATAAAGCATCAGGTAGTTTGTAAGTTAGTCAGTCAGTCCAAATAAGAGAAATAAATTATATTAAATTATGTGTTAAGCTTATCCATTATTTATTTATTTATTAAATATTTGCCTTACAATGATTTACAATTTACAATATTATTATAGATATTTACAGTGATTATGTACCATCGTCACCAAAAGTAACTGGGACAGCAGCACATTAGCTCTCGTCCTATTATATGAATTTTATTGTCAAATATTTGTCAAACTATGCATTAAATGCATTGAAATGAATGACAGTAGAATTAGTCCAGGAGATTATTATGCATTATTTGTGTCCCAGTTACTTTTGGTGACGATGGTACATGGGTTCCTAACTTATCTTATACGAGTAAAAATTGTATGTATGTAAAGTTTGTTTCGCCAGGGTTTGTTCTTGCCACCAGCATTCGCCTTCCTTGTTTAACGAATAAAAATTTGTCTGAAACAAATCAATGACGTCAAAAATGTTCGTCAGTTCCTAAAAGAGAAGTCATTCATTTTAATATGTCAAAAAATTGAATGTGTCATATGAATTAATCTACGACAACCCTTTTTTTTTCAAGTTTCAAGGTCAAGTATGAACCCTGGTGAAACGAACCTTATGTATTTTCAGTCATGCTATTTTGAGAACGGCTCTAACAATTTTCTCGATAGTTGGTATTCAAGGGTTTTTCAATCTCAGGAATCCATTGGGCTCAGTCAAATTTTCCGGAAAACTCGTGTCAACTGTCAAATGTGCAGATTTTTGAACCATTTCTTCGCAACGGATTTTGCTGAAATTTTGCATACACTTTAAATTCGGGTGATTATACATTTTAGAATACTAATGACAACTGTCAACTGTCAAATTGTGACAGGTGCAGATTTTTGAACCGTTTCTTCGCAACGGATTTTGCTGAAATTTTGCATACACTTTAGGTTCGGGTGATAATACATTTTAGACCACTAATGATAGGTGTGAACTGTCAAATATGACAGGTGCAGATTTTTGAACCATTTCTTCGCAATGGATTTTGCTGAAATTTTGTATAGCCTTTAAGTTCGAGTGATTCTAAATTTTAGACCACTAGGTGTCAACTGTCAAATGTGACAAGTGCAGATTTTTGAACCATTTTTTCGCAACGGATTTTGCTAAAATTTTACATGCACTTCAGCAATTTGGAATACTCAACCTGTCAAATGTAATTTTTGACAGATGTCCTCTCAGAATATGACAAAAGGGCGTCATATGCCTATATATATGGTGTTCAGAATTGAAAACGCCATAAGACGTTGAAAAAAATTGACCGATGCAAAAAATCTGGCAACCTTGCTAAGGGCCAAAAAGGAGTGACACGATAAATAAAAAGCTATTGTAAAAAATCGATTCCAATTAAAAATGCACTTTTTAACAATTTCAGGCGCTTGAAAGTTGTTTAAGATTTTTCAAAATTTTTATCGATTTGGATTTAAAAAATCGATTCTAATAGTGTACCTACATGGTGATAGGTTATGTTTATGAATGAGACAATAACCCGATCGTAGATCGGCTTCCCGCTAGTTTAACTTAACTAACTTATTAGGCTAAGTTATTCTTGCCAGGTTGTGGGGGTGGGGGGTAGTTGAGCATCTAGATCTGGTTTTTGACGCTCTCGTCCTGTCCTCTGGATTGTATGGTTATTTTTGTTCTTCCATTTCGCTATAGGTGGTCTTCCGGTATGTGGTTCTCGTAGTACTTTTGGTTGTGTAGTGCTACTCTCTTATCACCATATTGTTGATTACCCTATGTTTGATCCTGTAGGGTCCTCTCGTACGTCGTCCTATGTGTCTTGTGCTCTGTAGTCTTCTGGTGGTCCGTTCGGAGAAGGTTCTGGTCGTGTTTAGTAGAGAGTCATCAATTGGTCTAACATTTGCTCTATGGTAGACGGTTAACGAATTGATCCCATTTAATATTCAGCGCCATTCTGAGGCACTTGGTCTCCAGTCTGAAGATGGGTGTCTTGTTTAATTTGGCTGTTGAGCTCCAAATTGGATAAGCGTATATCATAATGGGCCTGACATACGCCCGGTATAGGCCTATTTTTGTTTCTGGGTTTAGCCTACAACTTGAGGAAAAGAAAGGGTATATGAATGAAACTGCTTGTCCTGCTTTTCTTCTGACCCGTTTGCAGTGTTCTATGAAGTTAAGTTTTCTATCTAGGTTTACACCTAGGTAGGTCACATTTTCAGAAGGTGTTATTTCATTGTCGTTTATGGTGATGTGGTTTGGGTCTGTCCTTCTTTTCTGGTTGAAGTGGATTATGTTGGTCTTGTTATGGTTTAACATGAGCTTCCATTTGTGGCAGTATTCGTCTATTGTTCTGGTATGTTGTTCAATTTTGGTCCTTCTTGATCTGGTAAATATAGCAATGTCGTCAGCATAGACCGCGATGTTGATGTCGGGTCTTTGGTATATAGTTCAAGTAAATGTTGAATAGAGTCGGTAATAGTACACTACCTTGGGGAAGGCCCTCAGTGATAGGTTTAGTTTCTGAAGTGGTATTTCTAATGCTTACTGAGAATCGTCTGTTGTTCAAAAAGCTATCAATTATTTTTGTTACGGCTGGGTTTATATTCATCTCTATCATCTTGTATCTGAGGGTCCTCCTCCAGACAGTGTCGTAGGCTTTCTCCATGTCTAGTGTAGCTAGAGTGGTCGTGTTGTTTATGTTGTTGGCTTCCATAGCGTAGTCTACAACTCTAGTTCGGTCGATCTTCCTGGTCTGAATCCAAACTGTTCTTCTATCAGGACGTTATTGTTTCCGAGGAACTTATTTATCCTTTTGTTAACGATTCGTTCTAGGATCTTGCCGAGGTAGTTTAGGAGTGAGATCGGTCTATAGCTCTTGGGCAATTTCTGGTCTTTTCCTGGTTTGTAGAAGACAATAACGTTCGCTTACTTCCAGGCATTAGGGAAATAATGCAGCTTTATGCATGCGTTGTAGATGTAAGAAAGTTGGACTATTATTGCTTTCCTAGGTAAGAATTTGCTATCTTTAGCTACAATTTGGTCCTTTGCTGCTGCTTTAAATGGTTTGAATTCCACTATCAACCTGTGGACTTCCCTAGGGCTGGTTAATATATCGTCTGTATTATTAAGTTCCGCGTGTATCAGGTTGATCAGGTTCCAGTATCTGTCGGTGACGTGCCATTCAGTTAGCTCATCTGACAGGTGTTCTGTCAATTTACTGGTTTTTATGATTTGGTTAGCGAAGGCATTTGATTTTCCCTGTGTGTCTGTTATGGTGGTTTGTGCTCCTGTGTCATTTGTTATCTGTATGGGTGGAATGTTTTGGGGGTTGCTGGGGTTTCTGTATCTTTTAACGTACTTCCATATATTGCCGTTATCGTTGGCTGTTTGTAATCTATCATTCCACACTTCATTATAATGTGATGACGTGAGTTCTTTCACCAGGGCGCTTTGGTCTATATATTCAAGTTTGTCCATAATGTTCCTTGTTCTTTGGTATTGAGCTCTTAGTTGGTTACGCCTGTTAATTTCTGTTCGTATATTTTCCGGAAGTTTTTCCAAGGTTTTTGCGTTCCCTTTCGGTACATGGTTGGCCTTGGGATTTATGATTATTCCCGCTAATGTATCCATTTCTTGGTCTATTTCCCTTGTTGTTGTGATGTTATTTTTGATGTTGATATTCCTGTTAATTTCTACTTTGTATTCTCGCCAATTTGCCTCTTTGTAATTATTGTATGGTCTTGGTGGAATAGTTTCAAGATGTTTTTGGACTTTGAATAGTACAGGATAGTGGTCCGATGTTAATTCGAGCAGTGTCTCTGCCATCACTTCCAGGTTTCTTGTTAGTCCTATGTCCAGAAAAGAGTTTGCATGGGGCCTTGTGGGTAATTCTGGGACTATTATTTGTATGTCTGTGCTTTCTATCATTTCATATAGGATTCTTCCTGCTATGTTGTTGTTAGGATTGTTCCAGAACACGTGACGTATTCAGATCGCCCACTAGGATTAAATTACGGTGATTTGTAATGTTAGTTAATTCCTGGACATCTAGTTGTTCACCCTTGTTATTATAGGCCACTGCAATGGTTATGCCCTGGAATGTAACTGCCAGGGATTCAATGTATGTTGTTATTTTGTATGTATAGGGCTAATCCACCAACTGGTTTGTTTTGGTCGGGGCGGTTTTTGAAAAACATATCATATCCTGTAATTTTTGGGGGCAGTCTATTTTTGAGTTTGGTTTCAACTATGGCAATGGCTTGGGGTTTCTTCCTCTCCACTAGATCTCTGATTTCGTGGATTCATTTGATTATGTCATTAGCATTTATTAGTATAATCGTGAGGTTCCTATTTGCCATAGCCAGCTAGGATTAAGAGGTCTTCGGCTTGGTTGTTGGCTTTCGATAGCTTGGTGTTTAGGGTTCTAACTTGGCTGATTAGTTCCCTAATATTGAATTTGTTATTTAGGTCTTCAATTTCTGCCATGAGTATTTGAAAGTCTTCCAGATCATTTGAATTGTTTTGATTGTTTGGTTTGTTTTTATTGGGTAGCGGGGGAAAGTCGTTTTTGTTTGGTGTTGCTTGTTTTTGGTTTTTGTTGTTACTTGTGGATTGGCTGTAAGTTATGCCTTGTGTTCTATTTGATTCGAACGTTTTAGGTTGTGTGCTGGCTATGTATTCCTGTATAACTTTACATCCTCGGTAATTGGTTGCATGTTCTCCATTGCAGTTAGCGCACTTCAAAGGGATTTCGTCCTCATTTTCGCCTCTTCTTCGGCGGCAGTCAGTAGTCAGTTGCCGAGTGGGGCCCTGCACATTTCAGACACTTGATAGCCTGCCTACAATTTCTTGATCCGTGGCCTAGACCTTGGCATCTATGGCATTGGGTTATGGTACTTCTCTTATGGAATGTTTCCCATTCAATTACTGACTGTTCGATGTTTCTTGTTCTTTTTAGTTTCTTTTTCGGCCGTTACAAGGTAGGAGTGGCCTTCACCTTGCCTGGCTTTCATTTTGATACATTCAGTAATCTTGTGTTCTTGGTTTAAGATTTGTTTTGACTTTTTCCGTATCCATGTCTGGGGGGCCTTTGAAAACCAACCTCTTTTGTCTGGCAGTTCTGGGTGCGTATGTGTAATATGCGATATTGTCCTCATAGAGGCTTTCACACACAATGTTATGGTCTTCAATGTTGTCTGTAAACATTTTAATGTCTTTGGGGGTATATTTGAGAAAAAATGACTTACCCCGTACGATTTCGCTGTTTGAATTGATTGTAATTCACTTTTGCCGTAATCATAATGGGCGGTGGTCTGGTTGGGCTGCTCTGGCTTGCAGCTACAGGTTCCTCTGTAGAATCTACTGGTAATATCCCGAACCTATTGTTGGTTGGGATGTTGATTTGGGTACTGGTTCCTGGTTGTTGGTGGTCCATGGTGGCTTCTTCCTCCTCGGAGGAGCTGGATAAGACTCTGTGTTTAACCTTGCCTAGTTTGGTATATACTGGTTCTTGGTCTTCGGACGACCGTGCCCATCAGGGCTCGCCCTTGGGGTTTTCTCACTGCTCGTCACACGCACTATACTGCACTGTATAACACTGTACTTGCTTTGATTTCGTATTTCCACTTTGATAACGGCACTAGTCAACGTTACCATCAGTTGGTACTAATCTTTTCTGTTTCGAGAGTTCTTTACTAGGAGGCCGTTCAAGAGCTCGACTCGAATGGAGTGCCAATTTCTATTGGCCGATTCAGTGGAGAAAAAAAAATTCCGAAGCCGTACATAAGGTCTATGGTTTCCATAATATCGTACCGTGCCGACCTTAGTGGGACACTGTTTTTTGATGTAGCGAATTCCAAGAACGCACTGTACGGTTAAATAAGTTTTTTTTCTGAGGAGTCTCGCAGACCTCTCCTTTTCTTCTAATAACCTCGGTGATGAGTATTTTGACTTTGTAGGGAAATGTTTGTTGAATTGCATTGGTATAATAACCACGTCACATTAGGTCACCCCTATGCCTTCTCTTTTTGGGAGATATAAAATTTATCCCAATAAATCTTTCCTGATATGGCAAATGTTTCAGATTTATAGGGGTATTAGGAATCTGCAAACAGACATCCGTGACGGCTTACCGCGATCTTGAAAACTCAGATAGTGTCGGGTCGACAAAACGATCGACTAAACTCTTTCCCCCTTTTATTCTTTGCAGCACATACTTTAAGACACCGCTTTCGCATTACCTCAATTCTTTCCGCCAGGCCCTCCTATTTGAAATGAGACAATAATTGCTGTACGCATCCCAGGTAAGTAACAAAGTATTTATTGTAGGTAGGAATTCATCGCAGTTCAGTATCCACCACAGACAGGTTTCTATTTTCTATTTTCAGAAATTCAAAAGATCCACTTCTCTTCTAGTGAATGAAATCCCCTTCACTCCTTTCCCATCCTTCCTATCCTTTCTCCACTCCCCTTCCTTTCTCTGAACAAAAATTAACTTAAAACACAACATATGGCAGTGATTAGACTCACCCAAAATTGCGTAAGAGTGCTGTCGTACTAACGCAGCATTAAACACAAGAGAAGAAGCAAGGTTTCTATCACAGGTATTTGGGCAATATCTATCACATCAACACAACATCTATCTAGGTACATCACAGTCTTTGGTATGGATGTTTTTATCAAATTTGATTTATCAGACTGTTGCTGTGTATTCCCTCTCCTTTGTCTCTAGAATTTTCCTCAACACGTTATACGCATGTTTCCAATTTTCCTTAGACGTTACTAAACTTTCCATAATGTTCTCCGGGGTGAACGCCCTTTCGGTTTTGTGTATAGACACACGGAATTCGTAAAAATTTGGTGTCAAAAGTGTGTGAGGTGTGTGATAATTTCAGCTAAATAGTGAGATGATTGGTGCGACTAGCGGATTAGAAATAGCGAGATGATTAGTAGAATAATTTGAGCTAGTTAGTGGGAACAAATAGGTGAAGTTTTGTTCAAAGTAACGGTGACTCTGCTACTTGATTTGACATCTAAAAAAGAATAGATTTAAATTGGTAATCTCCCAGAGTCGTACGAGAGTCGAGAAAATCCTGGATAGGCACGATAATAAATTCAAAAGTTGATTATTGAAGGAGAGATGGATGGGAAACATATCACCATAACAGTGGAGACAGGTACAGCCATATTTGTAACAAATTCCAACATTGCCAAAAAGTTTAGTGCGAAGCCACTTTTAGGGAGAGTTATTCTACGCACAATAGAAATCGACATGAGATTCGGAAATACTAAGATTTCACACAAACTTTGCTTATACCAAATACCTCACTAATCTGTCTTCCTGCTTATCAAAACCTATTTTGACAACGTTTTATCTTATAATAGTCACTTACCCTCCTCCAATTGTGATCATCTTACTATCCGCAGCCATGAACAGTTCAGCACCATGCGAGACATTCCGCTCTCCGTCCACTCCGATCCACGGATACTTGGCTCGTTCTGGATACAAGGAAAACAGGAACGTTTCTCCCGTACCGAAGTAAGCTTGCCTGTTACCGCGGTCGTCTTTTTGATTTCGTTCGCACCACCGCGATGAACAGTAGGCACCAAATACCTGCAAGAAAAAAATTCTGTTTATTATTTTTGTTGCGGAAATAACCCACAATAAGTTTAAATTTTGTTATTTCTAATTTAATATAATTTTCCTCTCTATTATTTACCATCAAAATGATATTCTAAAAATAGATGCCTGTGGAACCGGCAACAACAACCCTTTGAACCGGTAAAATTACAGGTTTCTTCATTACCTTATAAGGCAGTGAACCCCTCACGGCTGTGATTGGTCAGCCGCCACACAACATCCCTAGTTTTTTGCGACCTGCTCCGTGGCAGAGCTAGTCGACGCATATTCGTCAGTACTATTAGAATAAGCGAAGAGTTCGCACCCTCGCGCCCTCTGAATGCTCTTCAGAGGCAAAAACCCCCAAAAAACCCCCGTTAGTACGCACGATTTATAGTAAAATACTACTCTCTGTGTCTCAAGGCCTGGCATGGTCTATATTATTGATTACAATTCATGTAATTAACCCCTAATTGTTGCAAGTCACATACGCTTGTTTTTGGCTCTATCTCTTTTACTCTCGATAGGCTCCAACACACCTGTATATCATTGTGTTTTCTTTTCATCCCAGTGGAAAATTCCCTAGCTGCGAGTGCGAATAGTGATAAATGGATTAATAATCGCCTTATGGATTTATCTGTATGAACTGGATTAAGCAAATATTGTTTACAGACTTCCGCAGAAAAGTGCTCAAATTGTTAACTCTCAATAAATAAAAGAACTTTCAAAGATCAATAAGCATTTTGTGATTGCAGTGAACTGATTGAAGTTGACGAATCATTTATGTTGTGCTCTCGTGCATTTAATTAGTTAAGTTGTGTTCACGTTCATTGAACATTCAACCATAAATGATATTATCATTATCAGATTTCCCTACTTTTTATAAATCAAGATACTTTACTTTAGATTAGTATAAACTTTTTAGATTTACTTTAGATTAGTATAAACTTTTTAGTTCGACTGGAGGTCCAATTAGGAATTTCATTTCAGCATTTTATTTGTATAAATGAGGATCAAGGCACCCCTAACCCAATACAAGGCTTAAATGATCCAACACCTAATGGTTAATTTTTACAGTCATTCAAAGTAAAAACTTTTGGCATCCCTGGTGCGGTTTGACTAAAGCCCAAAAAGGGGTAATAGCTAGTTCCGTCACAATTTTATATATAGGATAAAATAGGTATGTGTTAATCAAATTTGAGTATTTGTTCACAGAAAATTTGGAAGAAGCTCATGATGGAAATAATTAAAAAAAGTTAAAATTTTTGTTTATTTGTTTCGAAAATAAAGGTTAATCCATGATAAAGCTCTTTTTCAGTAGTTCAGCGATTGTGTAATAGATAAATAGATGATTGATATTTGTATCCATGATAAGATAGATAAAATTTAAAAAAATAATGCAGTAACAATTACTCTTAGAGGGTGTATAATTTTTTTTTTAGAAGGGCTTTTCTCTAATACATTTGTCTGTAGCGTCATTGAAATAATTGCGATTTACGTTATTTTGACATAACATTTCTATTTACTCGACCATTATTATAATGTTCTACAATAATTATGGCACTGTTCCATATGGCATCAGATTTATTATTGTAGAATGTAAATAAAATTTGTCAAAGTATAATAATTTAAAAACAAATATGTTTGGTGTCCACTAATCAAATTTATTTAATTCCGGAATGTTACTTATTATGGATTTTCCGTTGTTGACATTGATTACAAGTATTTGGGATAAGAACTACTGAGTTCAAACGGTATATGGAGATAATTTTAATAGAATTGATGTGTAAGATGATATTAATAAATGTAGACCCAAAGGTATAGACAATTTTAATAACAAAGTTAATAAAAAGGTTTAGATATTCCCTTCCTTGGTTTAGAAGTAATGGATGATGATAGTGAGTTTTAGGACTATGAATCTTATGTTATTTCGTGTATAAATGATATAAGGGATTTCCATTATGTCAATTTCTTATCTTAAGTTCTGTGTTCGTATAAACCCACCATTATACAAAAATCACATTTTAAATATAAATAATTGTCGTAAAAATAAGGAACTGGAATACTTAAAAAGCATCACCATCACCAGTAATGGAAACTTTACAAGGTTATTTAGCAAGCAGCTACCTATACACCAGAAAATCTTTTAAATTGTTGCAAAAGATGTTCCTTTCACAGATTCGATACATTCTATATAATTTCATTAAATTCACGACAATTATTATCGTTTTGCGACATTTAGCATTGAAATGTGCTAATGCCAACTTGATGGATATGCAGTTTATCTGACATAAACGATCTCGTTTAGGTACAATGTTTTAGTTTTAACCAAAATTAGATATTCTATGAGGAAAAAAATATCAGCCTCCCAAAAAATTGAACAGGTAAAAGTTATTATTCGATAAAAAATAGTACTCTTTCAATTCAAGTCACAGACTAAATATTTTGACAAATTGTATCTACAACTTACCTCATTATTGCAAGTCTTGATCATCAATAAGGTAGGTTCGTGCTGTTCCACTCGTACATAAAATGTGGTCAATGAACATCCATGTTCTTCGGTGGTGTAAAGCAGTATTGGTTGGTACATGGTGATTCGGACTGGCAGCCAGGACCATAAGGTGAGAAGCTGTTAAAAAATAATGTTTTTGTTGAGTAGTTCATCATAAGATTGGTGCGTGCTATGGGCAAAACAGAGCGTGATGAAATATGTGTATAAGACAAGCAATATATACTTGAGCAGTGACTAACCTGTATGTGAACAACTACCAGTTTTAGACTCTGTTCAACCATCAGTAAATTGAACTTTATCCGCCTTTATTCTTTGGTTGAGCATTAAATTCGGTTTTAACCGCTGTCGGCGAAATTCGACTTTGTTGGTAAAAAGAAATAGGAATGTTTTTCATTCACAAATTATAGGACTTCTCTTTCAAAAATGTTTGCATTTATGCAGGCAAATCAAAACTTTTGAGACTTACTTGAAAAGGTTAAAATGTTTTCCATCAACGTTTAGACATTTCTCTTTATGATAACTTGGTATTATCTTATTTATGACTTGTTCTTCTAGTAAGATAATAACTACACAGCATATTGTTGTGAACTAGTGAATTCATTATTACTTATATTATCAATAATCCTAATGTTCACTACATTTTCTCTTCTACAAGTTTCACCATCTGTGTAATTAAGTCCCAAGTTTTATTATAACAATACTTTATGCTGTTAGGGTTCAAAGACGATGCCGGCTAGAATTATTATGTAACCAATGTCCTGTTCACATCAATTTCCCGAAAGTCGGTACTATTCTAGAAACCCCAATTGTTGTAAATATAAAAACTAAGTCAAATACAGCCCATGGGAAGTACTCTTGCCGCCAAAGACATAGTACCTTCCCAGGCCTTTTTTATAATATAGATGGCGAGAATTACCACCCCTAGGTTAATTTTAGGTTTATGATTGTACAAACGTTTCGTAACATTATAGCACCTAAATAAAATATGTTTTTAGGATAAGTTAATTTTAGGAAATTGTAAAATACCCTTCTTTAGGGAGGTCCAAACTTGCCTTCCTTGGTGGAAGATAGTTGAAGGCAAGGTATTCAGATTCCGAGCTTCACTCTGAACAGTCGGGTTGCCTCTCAACATTCTTAACCAAGTGTCCCCTCCCTCAACGAGAATTTTAATAAATGAAACATTTTTATACAATACCGAGTTTTAATTATCGAAGTACGAGATTGGAGCGAGCGGAAAACTCCAGGTACTCAACATTCGTGGCATCGGTCAACTCCCAATCCCCAACAATATCAAATTCTAGCACGACATGCTATTATAATAGCAAGCAGAATTTTCATTGAACTGGATAAATGAATGACCAAGACGTGAAGGAATGTTAGGATTTGTCAAAACAATATACTTCAGATAAAAATATATACCTATTATTATTATTAACAAGGTTAAAGGCAAACGACCCAGCCAGAAACTCAAAATTCAATGATGTTTTCTTGGTTCGGAGGTTTTATGGGAATTAAAGTGGATTTATTAAAAATAACTTTGGCACCCATGCAATTTTCATTTATTTGTTGTTTAAGGTACTTACTTGAAGATAGAGATTAGTCATTTTTTAAATGTCTAGAAAATTATTACTGTTTTTTTTTCTTAATTAGGTTGAAAATATTTAATTTATTGATAGTGAAATCAATCAAAAGTTTACGATTAAATGCTAAAATATAAATTGGACAATATGGAGAATAAACAAGGTTGTTTCAAAAATATTCAACGTTGAATAGAATTTAGTTTTTGAAAATATATTTTTTCATTATAGCTCTGGAAACAACAGATATAAAAAAAAATTGATTAGATGCTCGAAAGTATTTATTATGGTAGAGAGAAGTTGTGGGACGAAGTGGAATGAAACTTCCTTCCCTGACTTAAGACCGAGCAGATGAACATTGCCAATAAGTAACTTGAGTATTGGGTCCTGAAAAGTCAAACTTCTTTCGTTTATTTTTGGAATTTATTTTGCATTTAACTTAAATCAGTAGCACCAATTCGTCAAGAGTAGTATACCTAACAATCCGAAAAATACAAACTAAAACTGATACAAGTATACCACCGACATCAGACAGTGAAGAGGAAACCATCAAATCATTTTACGGATATATATCAAAAGAAATAAAAGCATAGATCACTATAATACTGGAGATGAGTGAGACAGGTCAAATCATGGTTAGCTTCAATGGAAGTCGTAACTAGTATATTATGAACACCTTCTTCAAGAAGAATGAAAATAGGAAATGAACGTGGATCTCGATTCAAACTGGATGAAAATAGGCAATTGGAGAATTGATTAGAAAGAGGAGGGTGTACCAAACAAAATGTGAGAAAGACGACAAGGAGAAGTAGTAGATGAATGAAATATGATATATTTGTCGAGACGATTTGGTTTCAGCTGTGCGGATTTTTATCTGTGTCAACTATCGGCACTTTGCAGACTACTAAGAGCTAGCCTAGACACAGGATATACTATTAGCCATACATGGAGAAAGGCCAGAATGGTCTTTATACCAAAGCCTGGGGAAGACTACACGTGGGCAAAAACCTCTAGACCAATAATTACACTATCGTTCTTTATTATGATGACAATTGAAAAACTCATTGATAAACATGTCAGGGAAACTTTTATTAAAACAAAAGCCACTACACCAAAACCAACACGCTTACCAATTGGGTGAATCTTGCGACACGGTCCTACACCAACCCAACTGGGCACAAATGATAAAAAGACCGAACTTCATTTGAATCTATGAACACTCCTTTGGCCAGAAACGGAGTCACACACACCATCAGCAGATGGATTGATAACATGCTTCGTGGTAGACAAGTTCAGGCTACTCGGATGATGTTGTAACCGTAGTCATGGGGAAAATATAGAAACTACTTCTGCGCAAATGCAAAGAGCACTGGAAGTCGTAGAGGACTGGGTCAAAAGGGCAAACCTGAGTTTCAAGTCAACCATGAGAAAACAGCAATGGTCCCCTTCACCTAAAGAAGTAAACTACACGACCACTTTATTCCGAAAGCAAAGGAGCGCGCATATTGAATACGCCATCAACAAAGGTAAAATGACGCAAATGGCCATCAAAAGAGCAGTAGGAAAAACATGGGGTTTTCTACTTCACATAGTATATTGGATTTATACAGTAGTGGTAAGACCCAGAATAATCTACAGTTCAAGTTTGGTGGCTAAAAGTTGAACAGAGTGAAGCAATAATGGAGCTATCCAAACTTCAAAGATTGACTTGTCTCTGCATAATGGGTACGATGAGAAGCACTCCAACTGCTAATGGAAACCATACTAAGCCTCCCGAGTCCCGCCACTTGATATCATTATGCTGAGGGAATAAATAATGGGGGCTAACAGACGCAATTGTAGTCAGAACTGGAATGCGAGACGAACATACCAGGATAACAGATAATTGTTACGAAATCACTGTTTGAGATGAGAAGTAAAAACATGACCCCGAGAATAAACACTCACAAACCCAGATTAACTATAGGAAAAGAGAAAAGGAAACCCGCTAATCCAGAATGGAAAGTTAGTATGGTACACTGATGGCTCCAAAACCGACAGTGGAACCGGTCCATGATCTTTTCAGACAACCAAACAACTATTAAAGCCAACAGCTGACCTTAAAATTAGTGTGAGACTGCCTGCAACCCCATTCAACCCTAGCCAGCCATAATGAAGTAGCTCTTGCGTGGGTGCCAGGGTACACTTACACCAGATGGGTATCTACCAAGATGAACTCATTTGTAGACTGTGCGACGAGTACGAAAAATCAGCCTCTCACATCTTATTCGAGTGCCCAGCACTCGCTTACTGGAGAACTTGACACTTTCTGGACTTTTTTGGAGAAGGTTCCTGTCCAGGAAGAGGATCCCTGAAGAGGCTACTACACCTGGCGAAGGTGTCAAACCAATTTTAGTACAAATTTACATAGCAAGGATACAATAAGCTAACTTGTGGCAGTGTCAGGGAATCGCTAAGCCTTACCTTGCCGCCGTATATCAAATCAATCAATTGGTACTTGAGTGATTGTTTCACTTACTGTAGTGAATTCTTTTCCTATTAAAGATAACCATAATATCGACAAAATAATTGTCGATATTTATGATGGCATAAAATATCTCGACTAAATAGTTCCTGCACTGTAAATTGTGACAAACTCGTTCGTGGTTTTAGACCTAAATATCATTGGTATTTTCTTGTTTCAGATATTCTCAGCTTTTTATAGGCTGCCCATAACAATCAAAGTGTTCGGTCTATTTCCATTTATTGGTTTCGTTGTCCTTCGATGTCTATTGTGTTTTCATCTGTGTTGTCGTTAGGTAGTATAAGTTTTCAACATGGTGATTTCTAATTATACCTTCTTTGCTGCTATCTTTAAATACTTCAGAATTTTTCCTAGTTCGCTTTGACTGCTTGCGATAACTACGATGTTAGGAGCATATTTCAAGTCACTGGAAGTTCCTGTTCTTTCAATTCGAACTCTTCAAATCATCATCAAACGCCAACGTGAAAAGTTTACTCCTATTTCTACTTTGACTTTTTCCAGTTGTTTCCTTAAGTTTTATCCAGTTTTATCTGTGGTGTTACCGCTACATGTATTTTCTGCAAAAGCTTTAGGTAATTTCGAGGTGAATCAATTGCTGTATTTCTTGTGCCCTTGTGATGCACAGTGTCAAATGTTTTCCAGAAGGTCATCCATAGAAAAATATCATATCTCTATCATTTTTACTGTATGAAGATGTTCTGTTTCTTCGTTGGCTCGATTTTTTTCCTAGTATATTCTAAGAAACAATTTATCGATCTGTAAGAGCAAACTCATGCATCTATAACTGTCTAGGTTCGTTGGGTCTCCTCTCTTATACAGGGTGTCCCACGGTGGATGGCGTATTAGACGTTATTGGAGAACTGAAAAGCGGATCATTTCGAAAATTTGGCAACCGGGATAAACGACCATAATCTACACTTTAAAAATATTTTTGTTTATGCGGTGTTGCCGCTTCTACTCCAAACTAGTGGCAACATCGTTATTTTAAATGGAACACCCTGTATGTTATAGCATAT